TTATGAGCACACATTTACGACTCTTTAACGGGAACGTCTGCTTGAGTCAAGTAGTGCTCTACTTAGCACAACAGGCACAAGCAGGATATGTTCATCATGCTTTTTGTTTTTGTCTTGACACCAGACTCCACCATGAAAGCTTGAGTGAGAATGCAGAAGTCTCTCTAGACAGGAAGTGCTGTGGAACAAAGGAAACTGTAGACTTTTTGAAAAACATCTTTAATTAAAGTGTGGGAATGCTGGCTTGACAGGATAGAGAAACACAGTGTCTCATACATAATTGCAAGACTTCTTAAACTGTAAAATGAAGTCACATCAGTGGAGATAGTTTGATGTGTCGATCACAACAAACAATCATTTCTAAATGTTTGAATTCTATTAAAACGTTCATGTGTAAGAGGTGAATCAACTGCAGTAAGTGTGGTACGTGTCATCATGTCATTATCAGTTATATCATTCATGCTTGGAAGGCTTTATGACTGTAGTTGTTAAGCATAATATTGCTTAGCCTTAGGCCAAGACCTGCGACAATGAGGATGCAAGCGTAATCATTTACAGGCATGTGCATTATACATATTGCACATACAGTGCTAATAAAATTCACTTTATCTTGCTTTAGGCAATACATTGATATTGTGATTGTATGGGGCTACTTCACACTAAGACAAATTGACAGTGTCTCATCGGGAAGACATTCACTACACCACCAGCTGGCTGTTACAAAGTCACAGCTAATCTAATTTGACTTTTAAATCCTTTCTTTTTCTCTTGTTGAGTTTGGCCTATACAGTAGGTGGCTTATCATACAAAAACTCTATTATACAATGGCAACATATCTGACCTCGTGCCCAGTGTCAAGTGAGTTTACACTGGCACTGAGCAGTTCAAGGGAGCTGTGGGGACAGCGAGGACTGCACTAATTTAGGATCACAACAAGGTTGTAAAACTGACACACAAAGTGCAACCTGTCCCCAGCTTTTACATTAGGGGCCCCAGTGGCTTGTGTTACATCCCAGAAAATAATACACATATCTCCCCTTATGACACAGAAGGCAGCCCCTAAATACTGAGCTTCAGATGGATACCAGGGCAGAATGGATGACGAAAAATATGGAGGACTGAAATGTAATATTTATTATTTATTGTATTTATTACAGCATTTATTTGATTGTTTTTGTCTATTTGCATGTATTTAATTTTGTACTTTTTTCATTTACTTCTGTATTGACTTATACATTCATTTTTTTAAATGTATTATAGCTTGTGTCATTTATCGTCCTCTGTAGTGCAGCTGCTAAGTAAATGTTCGCTAATCCCAATATATTAATATCTTGCGTTTTTCCAATACATTATAAACTAAGAATGTCATGATGCCAAAACTCTTAAAATGAACTGAAAACTCACAATTAAGTCACTGTGTTGACCTCATATGAACTCATACAAATGCTTAAAGTAAAAATATAAAGACTCATGTATAGCAGCTGCTTTCTATGCCTTTTTTTTCAAACGGGTTGCCTGGTTTGACCTTCAGTGATTGATAACGGTGGAGCAAATAGTTCTGCAGAGGTAGGCGGGACTTCCAGCAACTCCAGCGACTATTGGCTTCATAGAAACCTACTGTAAGCCAAACACACAGGCCAAATCGAACTGCAGTCCCTACAAAGTACCAAATAGTCGATGAGGCCTGTGATAACACGAAGAGATGCATCTAATTCATCGACATGACAATTATAAATTGTTGCAGCTGGTCCTCAAATTATTTCCCTTTTTTTCTTTTTCGTTGTGCACAAACATGTCCATGTTGTGCAAGGCAACGTGTTCAAGTCTTTCTTCGAACAAACGGGAAAAAAACATGAAAACCCGTTACTTATCACTCAGCAAGCTGCTTCACAAAGAAGCCAAACATGTACTTGTACATATTTAAAATAAATAGACTTTTGCAATAAACTGTTTTTTCCAGCATGTGGGATCAGTGTGGGATTAGTTTTGTGTCATAAAGGTAAAGCAACACTTTCTCCGAATCAAGCAAAACTAAGAGTTTAAGAGTCAAGCAAAATACAATTAATTTAAAAAATAAAGCTATAAGTTGCAAACAAATCATTTGTGTAATCATGTAAACTATAAGTATTTTTTCTTTGTTTTAACCTACGTTTTTGTTTGCAGTTCTTGTTTCTTCTTTCTCAATGATCAGACTTTGGCTCTCGCTGCAGCACTCTCATTTGCGCTCCTTCACTTTTTGTTTTCGATTCTGACACAAACATCCCAGGTGGGCGGGACTTTCAGGGGTTCGTCTGTGTCCCCATTGGCTATTCAGTTTTTGAGTGACAGCCCAGTCCTCCGGCGATTGTACAGGTCACCCTTGAAAAAGAGATCTTTTGATCTCAAGGGGCTTTAACCTGTAAATAAAGGCTAAAAAAACAAAACAAAAACAGTGCAGCTGCGGTAGCTGAGCATGGACAGAAGACCCCCAGAAGAACCAGCATTTCAATTATTATAATATATGTAAGTATTGATCATTTGTGTTGTTTGTGCTGTACTATACAGTCTGTTTCTTTATTGTGTTAAGTGAGAAGTAAAGAAAAGCTTTGCTATGAAAGTTAGCTTTAGCTGCATGCTATGCAAGCAGCCCAACAGCAGGGACAGTTAGCTACATAGCTAGCAGTGAGTGAGCGTTCAGACACCGGCACACACACTCAAACGGACTCGTGTGCCTGACTCTACCAACATGCTTTCATGATTCTGTTTGGATATAAGCCATGATAGCTGATTTTATTAACCCGCTAATTTGATATGAAAATCAATGGAGTCTGAGTTTACTACTTCTCTTTGTAGGAAAACCTACCGTCCATGACTGCCTCTGAGCTGAGTTTTATTTGTTAACTTCATATTTTTCATTTCCTAACACATTTATTTTCCTTTCATATTAACAGTATGGATCATTGAGACAGCGTGGCGTCCAGAGTCTTATCCCATTTTCCCACTTCCTCTGAGGGGACAGCATTAGATCAACGGAGGGGGGGCATGAAGAAAGACCTGCAACAGCTTCATGAAGAGAGACCTGCACCAGCTTCATGAAGAGAGACCTGCACCAGCTTCATGAAGAGAGACCTGCACCAGCTTCATGAAGAGAGACCTGCACCAGCTTCATGAAGAGAGACCTGCACCAGCTTCATGAAGAGAGACCTGCACCAGCTTCATGAAGAAAGACCTGCACCAGCTTCATGAAGAGAGACCTGCACCAGCTTCATGAAGAGAGACCTGCACCAGCTTCATGAAGAAAGACCTGCACCAGCTTCATGAAGAAAGACCTGCACCAGCTTCATCCACGCTGGGCGTTGCTGTTATCACTGGCTCAGTGTCATTTCATTTGACCAAATGTCTTTACATATACATTTAATATATGTTATTATTATCCACCTTTTTGTTTTATGTCCTTTTATTTAAAACATTCTTTGAGACTTCATCTTCTGGTTCAAATTTCAATAAATGTAATTTGTATAATCACTCTTTTGTCTTTATTCTACATGAAAATGTTAGAGATTCCATTCAAATCTGTTGATTATTCATATCTTTCTCAGGCTAGGAATAGTACGTTGAGTTTTTAATGCTAAATGTATATCATTTTCTCACAGGATATAGAATGAGACAACACCGTTTTTATCCATTGTGTATGAATGCTTCAGCTCTTCAGACCAACATAGTAAGATGTGAGCATGTTCCTAATTGTGTTGGTATGCACCCTAGGTCTGGTCTGTTTAATAAAGAGAATCTGCCACTTTTATATTGTAGAATTTGTTCAATTAAAGCAGTCTTTAATTATTTGTCCTAAACATAGCAATATATGCTTTGTTTAGCATATGTCTTTGAAAAAAGAACAGTATTTATATTGTCATTGTGTATCACCTTTAGCGTGAAAATACATAGATGTGTTTTTTTAATCTATAAAATAAATAAATAGACAGACAGACACTTTATCGATCCCAAATTGGGAAATTATTTTACAGCAGCAGTGTGTTCAGGTAAAATATTTAAAGTTGGAATAAAATAAACTACACAACACAAGTATAATGCACAGCAATCCATAAGATACGTCCGATATGTTCATGAAAACTCCCCAGGAGGCACCAACACTAACCTGGCCGAGTGGACTCCGGAGTTTGCTGCATGAGTTGCACTGTATGATCTGTGGTGTAGTGTGCTGTCACTCAATGGGGGCGCACCCCTGAAAGTCCCGCCCACCCGGGACGTTTGTGTCAGAATCGAAAACAAAAAATCACGGAGCGCAAACGAAAAGAGCTGCGGCGAGAGCAAAAGTCTGAACATTGAGAAAGAAGAAACAAGACCTGAAAAAAAAAGATATGTTAAAACAAAGAAAAAATACTTATAGTTTACAATACATGATGACACAAATGATTTGTTTGCAACTTATAGTTTTATTTTTGAAATGTTATTTATTTTTGCTTGATTCTGAGAAAGTGTTGCTTTATCTTTATGACACAAAACTAATCCCATAGAACAGGGACGTGCCAGGACAGGGTTGTGAAGCCAGCCACCCTCATGTGATGATGCATTCACGTACCTCGTAAAAGCTTGCTTCAATGTTTGAATTATTATCATACAACATTCAATTATAACTGTTAATTTGATTTAAATGGTATAATAAAATATTCCTAAATATATTTTGTTTGTGCTTTATATATAACTATTTCCATATTTTAAATACTAGCAATTTTAATGTATGTGTTTATAATTCAAGTTTGGGCAACGGGACAGGTTTTTCCCAGTCTTTTAAAGCACCTGAAGGCCACATCAGACTAGTCCCGCCCTCTTTTCACAAATCCCAGCCTGTGATTGGTCCACTGCACCTTCACTCACTCTTTTGAATGGACAATTCCAAAAACCGAGTCACATTTCCTCCCAGCCAATCACAGGGCCGCATTGTGATGACACCGTGGGATTCCGCGAAATTGTTTCTTGGAGTTGAGGGAAGTGCCGCTCACAGAGAAATAGGACAAGTTGACGCAAGTGTGGGAGTGCACCGAAAGGAGGAATAAACGCAGACACAAGTGCGTACAGCTCAGTCGGTTAAAGCGGTGTGTTTTATTGTTCCGGCAATTAGAAATAAAAAAACCCAGAGGGAGAAGGAGAGAGGAAGACATTCAAACGGCTATCTTTCCTGTGGGGGTGTTTAACCATCCGCTCTGCAACCTCAACAAAAACGCAGCCTTTTGCGGTCTTACGGAATAGTCACATTGAAGACGACACGTGTGGATGCTTAACCACATGTTTCCTTGGGGAACTGCGGTCTAATCACCTCCATCCACATTGTGGGTTTGTTTCTGGATTACTAGCTCCTGGAGATAAACTGTTTCCCTCCTCCACCCTCGGATCTGCCGTAGTGATGACAGAGGTGGATGTTTCTGCAGACTGTGACCCCAGCCGACCACAGGGGCGCACAGAGGACAAAGAGAACCAGGAGAACAGGACTTTAATGATGGTGGCAATGATTTTATTGGACTTGAACAAATGCAACCCTAACGCCATCATCAGCCCCGGAGACAGCAGATGTCTCGGGGGGAGCAGCGAGGTGGAGGACAAGGTGGAGCGGGGGGGCTGCAGGCTGAGCGCCGGGGACAGCCGGGTTACACCCAAACAGTCCCGGATCAAGAAGAAGGTGGTGAAGGAGAGAAAGGAGTGTCCGGAGAAGAGACACTACTGCCCCTTCACCGGCTGCGGGAAGGTGTACGGGAAATCCTCCCACCTCAAAGCCCACCTCAGGGTGCATACCGGTGAGTGAGGGGCCATCATAACGTGTTGTTGACGACAGCAAAACAGCTCTGCGTCACTAATTTATAACATCATTTTTATTTCAGGTGCATGGTAAAGATCAGGGACAGAGCAGTCTGAACAATCTGCAATCACTGCAAGATGAATATGATAACGTTAAAGAAGGCAGTCCATGTTGAGTCTGGGATGTGATGTGAGGAGAAAAGACGTGTGCCTGCAAATGAATAACACGTTATAGGAAAGGTGGTCCCACGAATTTGGGGGGTGTGTGACTGATCAGCCCATAGAGGGCGTGAGGCTGACTGTGAGGGGGAGGGAGGGAGGGGAGGGTTGTGGCACTCAGAATATGGGAACACCGCGTGCTTCCTCCCATATTTGTTATGCACGCTAGATTGTGCAGGTATGATAATAAAGAAACATCCTGGACCCCAGTCACCATGATGTTATCAACATAATGTCCCGTAAGATCGTCTCTGTTCTGCACCGTGTGTTACCTATCTTGTTTCTGTGTTTATTTGCATGTCCCTTATTGTAATCTCAGCGAACCCTCAGCTTTAGATCCACATGCAGGTCACTGCGACACTGTTGCCCCCTCATGTTCTTGTACGCACTCCGCAGATAACCCTGCACCAGCACTTCCTCATACGTCATCCGTGCCCCCTCCCCTTACGTCAGGTTGTAAACAAGGGCAGACATGTGTTCCAGTGGAGCACATGGAGGAGGAGGTGGGAGCAGCCATCGTTTTTTTTCGTTCCTATTGGCTCTTATCATGACTCACCATTTCCAAATCAATTTGTTCTCTTATTGTTCCAAGAAATGTTGTTGGGTCAGGCCTTCCCAACAAATTGAGAAAAAACAAAACCCAAAATCCTTTGGTAAAACGAGCTCTGTATGACTCACCGCCCTCCTTCTCAAATTTGATTTGTGTACTCGGTGTTCTTTTTATTTATTGCCTGCCCTCCCTCTTTCAATGGCTAATGATTAAAGGAAATAATAAAACTACCAGTTTGATTAAAAGCTCAACTCTTCCCTGATAAAAGTTATTTTTTGGGGGGGTTCCTGGTGACTTGGAACTGATGACATAATTAGTGGTGTTTTTTATTTAGATTTTTCTGAAAAAAATATGCATTTCTTAAATGAAACCATTATTAATAATACTTATTATTAATAACATATATTAATATATTATATAATAAAGGAATAATTAATATTATTGTCATTATATGATAGAAAGTAATTATTATAGGGTTATTATTATTATCCTTATTGTTGTTATTATCCTTATTATAATTGATTATATATTTATTACATTTTTTGTCCTTGGGTTCTCCAAATATGAGGAAATAAATATCATCAAAACACAGTAGTTTATGTTAGATTTTTGTATAACAAAATGCAGGAAGCAGTCTTTAAAAGAGTAGTGATTTAAACTGTGTGTTTGTGTCCTCAGGTGAGCGGCCCTTCGAGTGCACCTGGCCTGACTGCGGGAAGAAGTTCTCCCGCTCAGACGAGCTGACGCGTCACTACCGCACACACACGGGCGAGAAGCGCTTCAACTGCCCCATGTGTGCCAAGTGCTTCATCCGCAGCGACCACCTGACCAAACACGCCCGGCGGCACGCAGGCTTCCATCCCAGCATGCTTCAGGGCTCCAGCGCGGCCAAGAGGCGCCGCTGCTCCCTGTCCCTGTCCTCGTCTGAATCTGGAGACCAAAGCCCTGTGGGGGTTTGAGACCCTCCCTCCTGATGCACACACACACACACACACACACACACACACATACATACATACATACATACATACATACACACACATACATACATACATACACACACACACACACACACACACACACACACACACACATCAAGGCACAGGCAGGAGAGAGAGAGCACACACAGACACAATGTGTGCTGTTTGCACCGTACACTAATCCCGTCCAATCAATCAACTCCACCAGCCAGACCACTCTGTAAAACCTTTTCTCTATGCATGTAACAGCAAACAGAAATATAAGTTATGTATTCAAACTCGACCCCTGTTACTTCCTGAGAAAATTGGTATTTATTAGTCAGGGTCAATTTCTATTTGCTTTGCCATTTATTATCATTACTGTGTGTTATTTGTGTTCCTTTGTTGGAAGAATCTGTAATCTATTAGGCATTCATGTGTGTATATAACTATATATTATATAGTTTCCATTAATACTACATGTGTTTCCTTGCATCACAAACTTCATTTGCAGAAAAGAAAACAAATCATTACTGAGATATTCAAGTGCGTTTAGAAGTTTTGGGGATTTTCCTTTAGTAAATATAATTTTTCTTTTTACATACACACTCATACTTGTACAGTAACTCGAGTCCAGGACCAGGCGAATGTACAGTACAGCAGTATTGTCATGTAAATATATAAAACAGATACACTTTTAGATGGAGGATGTACTCAGTATACTGTAGTTTAGTGAGGTTAGAGAAGACACATCTATTATATAGAGAATTACAGAGTTTTTTGTATTTTATAATGATATATATATTGGGCTAGTTTGCTTGTACATTTTCCTGTGTTGTGCGTCACATCGTGATTAAGCTACTAATAATTAACCTTTACACATAGGCAAGCCTTGTGGGGAAATACATTGAAAACATTTGCAATGCTTTTCCAGGCTTGAATGTTAATAGTGCAGGGATAAACACAACAGGGTTGAACCTTTTTAAAGGGAAAGTTATATAAAGATACATATTTAGTTTTTAAAAAATAGGTCTGTGCCTTTTTCAACGTTTTTTTTGTTTTTAGCAGAGAGGAATTTCTACATTGTGGAAAATCTTCATATTCTATAGATTGATATTCAAAAATACTTTGAATATCAATGACTGTCTGTAATGCCAACAGTGCCAGTTGCTGATCATTTAACTACCTTTTGTTTACTCTGTATCTGGACTGCATTTCATCAGGGAACAATGTGCGGCCATTTCTGTCAACATTACCCCCCCCTGGTGGAGACATGGAAGCACAACATTTCTCACAAACGGACATTTTTATTTATATTTTACATCCTCGCATTTTGAGGCAAGCTCTTTTTATTAGTTTGTGAATTCCACCATGTAGCATGTTTGTATGTATTTGTTTGGTTCAATGATTTTTGTATTTGTTTGGTAATCTTTTATAATGTAACTAATGGGGTGAAGGACCCTTTTCGTCCACTACTGGAGCTACAAACATTGTTGATGTCAATAGTTTTCTTTATATAAATGCCTCGTAAAAGCATAAACACGTCCAGATAGAGTGTAAAGTTAGGTATAGTTACGCTTGTAGGATGTATTTATATTATGCTGTTTTTTATTTTCATGGCATTATGACAACTGTGATTAGATGTTGGTGCCTTTCAGGTTGAAGCCTTTACTTCTGATGCTACTGTACTGTAATCAGGTCTGTCCCCACAGAGCCGTGTTATCGCAATATTCATAGCTGTGTAATAATTACTGCTCAAAGGTTTTAACATTAAAATTATTTTTCTTTCTAAACAGTTGCTCATTTGTTCTGTTCCAAAACACACACTGTACTTCACACCTTTTATAAATACATAGAGGCTCTTCTTTATTGCTGTGTAAACAGAGGTGGGAGAAGTACAAGTACCACTTCTATAAGTAAAAGTCCTGCACTCACAATGTTACTCAAGTGAAAGTACAATTAGCATAACAATATATATTTAAAGTACCCCTTTCAGAATAATATATATTATATGTTTGATTACAATTATGGATGCATTAAAGTGTTAATCAAAGGTGCTAGTTGTAATGTCTTTGTATACTGCAGTGTAGTTTGTGAATTGACTCCAGGTGTAAGTAAAGTCTGATTTAAGTGTTGATTATATTTCTAATTATTAATCAAAAGCTGCAAAGTAACTCAAGGTATTTAGTAAATGTAGTGGAGTAAAAGTACACTATTGACCTCTGAATTGTAATGGAGTAGAAGTACAAAGTAGCAAAATATTCAAGTAAAGTACAAGTCCCTCCAAATTGTACTTAAGTAATGAGTAAATCTACTTAGTTACTTTACACCACTGTGTTAATAAGGTGATACAAAGAAAGAGTAAGAACAGATAGTACTCCATTAGCTTTGCGTTTATTTATTCTTTTCATACACCGCACATAACAATAACATTGTTAAATACTGTAATGGTAGTGTTTACATTACAAGAACAATTTAAAAAATGAATCCAAAGAAAAACATTATTAAGAAAAACTTCATAAACAGCAAATGCTCTTCAAACAAACAAAAGGATAAAGTGGCAATTAATACACAAGTCTTTTAAACTTCTCGGTACTTAAGGCAAACTCTAATGGCAAATGATCAACTTAGGAGGCAGGGAGAGAGTCATAAATGAAGAACATTACTGCTCCAACTCAATGTTGCAATTCAAAAACGATTTCCAACCCATTAGTCAAAGGAGACACATAGATGCCATCTCACTCACTGGCCGTTTCTCAATGTCGAGTATACCTGCTGCAGAGCCACTATTTCAAGTATACTACGTCATCGAGTGGCGCCAAAGGACTGTTTAAATCAGGGGTGTCAAACTCAATTTCAACTCGAGCCACATTAGCATCATGGTTGCACTCAAAGGGCCAGTTTTATACATAAGATTATATAAGAATAAATATATAAATATTTCATATATATAAAATCATGTATTATATAACATTATTTCCTCTTCATTGGATTATTATCGGATAGGTTAATCACTTCATAATTAACTACGTCTGAAAGCAGAAGTCCAGGGCAAACAATTGCAAGTCTCTTCAGTGTGCATGTCACAAAATGATTTAAAAAGAAAAAGCCAAATTCTGGAAAAACTACAAAAAATAAGTGAAATTCTGAAAAAAAGGTAACATTTGAGAAAAAAAAGTCAAATTCCGAGAAAAAAGTCATATTTGAGATGCATTGTGGGACATGTAGTTTATGGGCAATGTGCTTCTGTAAAGCGGCACGTAACCGTATAATAAACATATTATATTCTTTGCTCTTGTGGGGCCACATGAAATGAAGTCGCGGGCCGGATTTGGCCCCCGGGCCTTGAGTTTGACACCCCTGGTTTAAATGCATGCCCAGCATTCGGCGCCACTCGATGACGTATATACGTATACTTGAAATAGTGGCTCTGCAGCAGGTATACTCGACATTGAGAAATGGCCACTATGTTGGCATTGTATGTCAGTATACATGCATATGTGTGCTCTCTTTAAAATCCTTTATTTATCAAACAGATATGGGGACAAGTGTCCAGTGATGGAGAATATATATACTATGGGGTGTACAGCCGTGTTTAAGGAAAAATCTATCTTAAGGTCACCCCACGTTCCTTTGGCCTTGATAACATGTTTATCATGTGAGCATCATGTGTTAGAGGGTCGTGCAGCGATATGTAATCTTTCCCTTTTGACACAGTTCATTTCAGATAAGACACCGTCACTGCTATGCAGGAAAGAGAACACAGATATGAGCCCAACAAAAGAAAAAATGTGCAAATTCAAACAATACCAGTCAAGAGGTTGCGCAATCAAAATAGGGCAGAAATTAAATGTGCAACCAGCTACTTCCTTTTTATTTTCAACTTATGTATTCAGTCCAGTGCTCTTCATGCAATGTGTTCCTAAGCCATTCATGTTCACAGGTTCATCTCTAAACTCTGCCTTAAACATATCCAGCCAATAAGTGTTGAGGGTGAGTGAATGAGTGCAACCTGTGCTACAGTACATAACAACCCCGTACAGTACAATGAATATGGTACCAGATATCCTCTATTCAGGGACTCCACACCTCTAAAACATCTCCATGTCAGCACATACAATCAAAAGTATCATCAGTCTTAAAAAAAGGAAAGCATTAAATAAAACCAAAATAAAAAAAACTAGAAAAAAACCGTTGAGTCATCAGTTATGATGTTTGTTATTCTTCAGGGAAATGGATTTCTCTTTATAGCATCAATTGACCTTCTGTCCACTAATATTAGTGTGTTACATCATGTTCACCAGGAGAAGGGCTCTCGAACACGTCCTGCCATAGGAGGAAACCACCACTTCCACTTAAATACACATTGAATATTTTCAACTGTCTTCCTTCTCCTATATGTTAAACCAAATACTCTATATGTTAATCGGATTACTCCTAATTGTCATCATAGCACTTAACTGTCATTAAAATACTCTACCAATACTTCACTGTCACCACTGTGGAGGCGAAGTAAACTCACAGCAGATGAAGATTGGGGGTTATATTGTGTGAAAGGGGGACGGGGGACGCAGAAGGTCAGAGGGGCGGGGTTACTGTATTTGACAGGTGGTGGAGGAGGTGGCCTGGCAGCACATGCAGGTGGGGTTGACTGATTTAGGCGGGATCAGATCCAGGTCCTCGTCGTCGGGGATCTCGTCTAGGCGGTAACCATCTTTCAGCAGCTGGATGTTCAGATCCTGATTGATTTGCTGGAGAAGAGACGATAAAGAGAGGAGATTGATTTTTTTTTCAGTCATCCACACCAATCAGAAGGGCTGTGCTCCACATGTACCAGCCATTGTTAACCAATCAGAAGTGGCCCATGATAGAAGGTGATAGACAGATTGATCCAATCACCTTCCTAGTATTTTTGAAAGTGCCTGCCCTTTCCAAATGGCTTCCAGTGGAGCTTTCCTAGACAAACCATCTGAGTCAGGTTAGTAATGCTCCATCTCATGTTTCTATTACAGGGTGAATCTTAAACTGAAGCTTGACTTTAAAGCAACCCAACGGAAGTTTCATGTAAGTTTAGTTCTTTCACTCGTAGCTCGGGCTGCGGGGGCGCTAGAGACGGGAGCATGTTGATACGACCTTCCTAGCCGGAGTTATGGCCGCATTTTACAATAAACTTAAATTGGGTCGCTTAAAAATAAATATCGCAAATCGAATCGCAATCGCAATATTTGTCAGAAAAATCGTAATTGGATTATTTCCCCAAATCGTGCAGCTCCTAGTCTAGAGTCCCAAACCTAGTAGTTCCTGTTATAAACAGCTAGCCAACTAGCTAAAAAAAATGAAACTTTGTGAAACAGAGTTTGACATTTGGGGTATATAAAACTAATCACCTCCTGGCAGAGCATTAGATGAGATGATTGATACTAATTTCATGTTTGTAGCATATGCTAAATATGAAGCTACAGGTAGCTGCTAGCTAGCTTAGCTTAGCACAAAGACTAGCCTTGCGGTATCCAGAGTTGACGAAACTATCTAACAACACCTGTCTCACTTATTTAGATGTTATATGTCGTTTGTTTAATCCATGAAAGACAGAGGGGTGTATGAAAGAACATTCATCTTTTTACAGACTTCAAATCTCATGGCTTGTTTTGAGAGTGAGTAACATTTACAGTGGTAACCATGGAAAACTGAGTTAGGGCACGATCACAGATGGCTGTAATGATCATCACTTGGAGCTTTGTCATGAATGTGATGACTACTGTACTGTCCTGCTGTGATTTTTTTAAAGGAAAACAATGCCTTTGTTTGCTGGAAAAACAGAAGAAAAGTCTTAATTTGATTTCCAATATTCAACTTTTCATGTAATAACTTATTGTTGTTAGCAAGAACTTAGAAAGAGGGTACAATTACTAAATTGGGGTTGTAACATGTATATTAGCTATTTCTCTGATGACATGGTGGCATTAAAATCTGAACCCTTGTTGGCTTGAATACAATATAACAATAAGCTTGGTCATGTCAAAGAGAGAGAAATGATTGAAACTAGGATTCCTCTGGGGAATAAATGATGTCTGTGATTTGCATTTAAATTGGCACCAGCGGTGAAAATATGATGTTAGGAGAGACACCCAGAGAGGACATTACATTTATTTCCAGCATTGTGTTTCACGCAGTGTAATAATGCTCTTGTAGCTAGACAGCATAATCATTGTTGAGCAGGAAGGATATAAATGGGTTTTTGTTGAGACTGACGCATAAAAGCCGGGCTCTCTGGCCTCTTGACATTTATGGGAAATGGAGTGAAAAAGGCGAGGAGGGGGGGCTGAATGAGAGAGCAAATGTGAGGCAAAGAAGGCGAGGTTTGCTCGATCAGATATCTCACCTCAGCAGAGGAGTATCCCGACGATGAGTATCTAGACATGTCAAAATCATCATCACTGAAACAAACAAAGAAACACAGGTTAGCTTATCAAGTCTGTGGTTAATGTGTTTAAGTGGAAAGAAGTGCATTAATCACAATCTGTTTCTTTGCCAAGTCCGTTTCACGCCCAACAAATGTGTCTGTGTGTGTGTGTGTGTGTGTGTGTGTGTGTGTGTGTGTGTGTGTGTGTGTGTGTGTGTGTGTGTGTGTGTGTGTGTGTGTGTGTGTGTGTGTGTTTACCTGTCTGTGTCTAGGGCCACCAAGGGCTTCTCATCTGGGCTCTGGTCTAAAGAGGAGTAGCCTTTGTTAGGCACTACCAACCTGCAGAGAGGGAACAGAGAGAGAAAGAGAAGAAGAAGAAATGATCAGAGGAGCAGTAAAAGGGTGTGACAGAGTACGAGAGGAAGAACGGAGGAACAGATGGAGGAGGGAAAATAGATCCCCTAACAGGAAGAAGTGAGTAAGACTGGCAGAGCTGCTTAAATAAAAGAAAGGATTGCCTGGAGGCGACCTCGCGGCTGAACTACAGGAACAAGTGAAGCTTGAAAGACGCCTCATTTGTAACTCGAACATCTTACAAACCCTGAATCAATAAGACTATACTCGTGCGAGCCTCACTGGCAGACAGAAATAACGGACATGTGGATGACATCCCTCTTGTCAAACCCCGCCATGATCACATGTTCCTTATAATACACATGTTCCTGATGTTACACACGTTCCATCCTGATTTTACACATGTTCCTGATGTTACACACGTTCCTCCTGATGTTACACACGTTCCATCCTGATGTTACACACGTTCCTGATGTTACACATGTTCCTGATGTTACACACGTTCCTGATGTTACACACGTTCCATCCTGATGTTACACATGTTCCTGATGTTACACATGTTCCTGATGTTACACACATTCCATCCTGATGTTACACACGTTCCTGATGTTACACACGTTCCTGATGTTACACATGTTCCTGATGTTACACATGTTCCATCCTGATGTTACACACGTTCCTGATGTTACACACGTTCCTGATGTTACACATGTTCCATCCTGATGTTACACACGTTCCATCCTGATGTTACACATGTTCCTGATGTTACACATGTGTAGCACCGGGGACATGTCTGCACCACTTTGCAAAATGGTTGATTACAAAATCAACCATTTTGCAAAGTGGTGCAGACATGTCCCCGGTGCTACACATGTGTAACATCAGGAACATGTGTAACATCAGGATGGAACGTGTGTAACATCANTGCTGGTATAGCTGTAGGGGGTTGGGAACTATGGTATACTGTAGGGGTTGTCGACTCCGCTTCGCGTCGGGCCGAACACGCCCCTTACTGTGATATAGATGAACAAAAACTACGTTTTTTTTGTGCATGTATTAGGCTATTTATTACATTATATAAAACTGTTAACCTCTAATAGGAAACAAATAACTCCTATAAGGAGAATTAAAAATAATACACAGGCCTACTTTAAAATAAATTAAACACAGCACTTGGGGAGTCCTCTGCCCATTTGAAGGAAACAAAAATATAATTAAAATGGGCCCACTTTGAAATAAATAAAACATATAGCTGCACCCTAAAAATAGTTAAAGGTAGGGTAGGTAAGAATGGCGAAACCAGCTCGAGTGCGCTAGAATTTGAAAATACAAAACCGGAAAAAATATGCCTCTTCCTTCAGACTTTCTTACAGAGTCCCTCCTCCAACACACACGAACGCGCATCATCAATGAGGCCACGAGATAAGTTTGTGCCAGATGGAAGGCTGACAGGCAGGTAGGCCATCCAATTATTTTAGCCGGGCCGGCTAAAATGTGGTCGTGCTTTTTACAGCGCTACGGCTTCCAGAGATTAATTTTTGTATGTATTTATTGTCAAAGCATTTAATATATTCATTGCTATCGGGACGTTAAGAGCATTCCATGGAATATAACAAAAAGTGTTTTCTGAAATAGATTACATACCCCATTGAATTATGACTGAAGATTGTCAGCTGTCTTCCTCTCCCTTGTTGTTCCTTGATACGTAAAGGCTGCAGCACCTTTGACAACTTCTCTCTACATATCAAACATACCGGTAAACCAGCATTGTTTGCTGTGAAAGCATATAACTCTGTCCACACAGAATTAAATCCTGTGTTCCTCCGGTACTTTTCTTTGATTTATCCATAGTTCGCTCATCGAGCCGGGGGTCAGGTTATTCGCCTGCAAGAAAAGGCGCTCGCGCGGGACCGTAGCAGGATGTGACGCATATTTTAGTTGACCTAATTAAAACCGTTTTGTTTTTTATTTATGTGTCACAGTATCACCTCAAAATACAAGATACGAAACATTTTCAACCATGCAACAAAATATAAATAGTCCTACAAATACTTTTATTTTATTTCCTTCTTATTTTTGTCTATGGTGGCCTAAAGGTCCAAACCAGAACAATAAAAAGCCGCGATGCCGCCCTGNTTATATAATGTAATAAATAGCCTAATACAGGCAAAAAAAAACGTAGTTTTTGTCTGATATAGGCCTAACAATAAATACAACTTTATTAGCTATCAAGCTATGAAATATGTTTTGCGGCTCCAGACAAAAAAATGTTTTGGAAAAAGGAGCAAAATGGCTCTTTTGGTCAAAAAGGTTGCAGACCCCTGAGTTAGACTCATGAACGGGTTGGAATAGCTTGTTAGCTCGTAGCAATCCTCCGGCTTGTTTACGTTAGCGGCCGCCATTTAGCTTAGCTTGCAGCAGCCGCATAAACTTCCTAATTAGCACGGCAAATCTCACGGTTTATCTCCACCATTTATTTACTCTGTTTATGTTCTCACCACTGTCGTTATGTTGAACATGAACAGTCCCTTCGTCGAAGGGACTGTTCATGTTCAACATAACGACAGTGGTGAGAACATAAACAGAGTAAATAAATGGTGGAGATAAACCGTGAGATTTGCCGTGCTAATTAG